CTGGGGGGGGGGGTCCGACAGGCATGCTCCCTAGGAAAAATTTGAAATTTGAAACTTATTAACACATGATTTCTAGCATTTAGGGGCATATTTGAATAATCTATTCTATCCAGACATTGGTGTTAGAATCAATTTAAATATACTTAAATTCACTGTCTTTGATCACAAATTCTCAAAGGCTTAGCCAGTGCAAAATGGTCAGACAGCAGGGGGGGTTTCTGCTGCCTCCTGCCAACTCTAATGACAGCCCCGATAAAAACCATAAATGATGGGTTTGGATCAAGATCAAAATAGTTTGCAGGGAAACAGTACTATGATAAGACTGCTGGAATCAATAAATTGTTCTTACTGTGAGACTGTATAGACACCGCCATTTCCTGGAGTTAACTCTCTTACTCTAAATAGTGATTAACATGTAACCTCTCCCTGCAATATCCATACACCATCCAGCAAACAGGTCATGAGAATTCTCAAACTTATCAAGTAGAAGTTGTCCTTGTGATCTAACACCAAATCCTAGTTGCTATTATACAAGGAAATGTTTAGCACCTAGAGGGGAGAATTAACAAGAAGATCTTGGGAGAGAAAGGGTTAAGTAAGACACACCTGACGCAGGAGGGGCATGTGAGTGGCCCCCGCTGATATGGTCAATCAACAACATGAAAACGAATCCACAGCATAAGGAAAGACCAATAAATACATCAGGTTCTACTTGTGACATCTGGTTCTTTAGAACATCCACATGTGTATGAGCTTCATCATGATCTGAGTGAGACTGTGTTGCATCTACATTTGTATCTGCTAAATGCACGTGTGTACCATGGGTATGAGAAGAGTGTCCTATAAACAAAAAATACAACTTAAGTAAAAGATTTAATACTACACAACTGTAATCAATTCACAGACAAAAATCTCTGATCATTTCCATTTCAATACTCTTGTACAGTGGAACCTCAATTTAACAAACCTCCATTATAACAAAGTCCCTGGTATAACGAACAATATTTTAGTTTCAGCGCGGCTAAAGTTACAGTAACATGTATGCCACAGAACCTTGATATAATGAACCCTTGATATAACGAACCAATTTCCCTAGTCCTTTGGCACTTCATTAAATTGAGGTTCCACTGTACTGTGACACTTTTGGAGTATTTGTTTGCTTTAACTGTGCTATGTTCCTTTTTCTTTCCTTATCTTTCTTTTTCTATACATAGTGATTTGGGACAACTGAATAAAATTCAATTTTATAAAAGTAACCAAGAATGCAAACAAATGCCATGAAGAAATTACATCCACATTTATATTCTTAAACCTTTAACCCCTAAGAGTGACTAACATCTAATTTCTCCTTACAATATCACCCCTGAATCACACATTAAGGTCAGGAGAATAACAGAATTGATCCCCTAGGCAACTAAAAGAGACTCTTGATTTGTAAACAAATTCTCCCTGACAGCACTATGTATAGAGAACAGTAAGGAAAATATACATACTGAATTATTACCTAATGGTGTAAAGGGTTAATAGGAGTGCTCTAAATTGACGCAATGTTTACATTTACATCCCTATTTTGCTGATTTTTTTTTCCTATGGCAGTTGTTACTGCTGTTTTTACTTTCTTTAGCCTTCACTAAGACTCTTATTTGAAATCCAAGACCCAGACTGAACAATTTCAGCTGTAAACCATACTTTCAAAGTTGTTCAGACTATTGCAAGGTACTAGTAATAATGATGACAAGAAATGTTAGAGTTAAGATCCATTATTAAGATGTATCAGCCTCTACTTGTAAATACAAGTAACAACAATTTTGAATGGCAGGGATAATATACACAGATGTTTGTTCCTCACAATTAAAATTAAAGGAAACTCTAGCTTGATCCAAAGATCCTTCCCTGGAAAACAAATTCAAGACAGTCATTTAGAACTTGGATAGAAAAAAATCCTTTGAGCTCTCTATAAAAGAAAAAGATAACTTAGAAGGGATCATCAGGACTCATCACAAATGCTGGCAAGATTTCCAGAGTTTGGAACTTTCAATTTCTCAGGGAAATCTTTATCAGGTACAATGTACTCATTCTTACAACAAATGCATATTCCTCACCATATTGATCTAACTCATATAAAGCATGAACCCCTTCTGGAATAATAACAGCAAGTGCAGTTCCCACCAACAGACCTGCTCCCAGTATACTGATCATCCTCAGTCTCTTCTGTTTAAAACAACAACAACAACAACAACAAATAATGCTCTACTGGAACAGTAATAAATACAACTATAAGTAAATATATAATAGGCCAAAATCATAAAAATGATAAACAATTTTCTTCCTTTATGATTCAAATTTCTCTGTTGTTAAATTTTACTGGCTTTTCTTTCAAACTGATTATCATACATGTACATAATCACTTCCGAGAAACAGGAGAAGTAACAAAAATGAACAAAGAAACTGTTACATGTTTATAGGTCAGTAATCAATCGATCCATCTGCTAAGAGTGTAAAAACAAGGCGCCTAAGCCTTTACTTATACCCCACCTTTTAAAAAGGTGGCCAAGGCATAAAATTTAAGCTTATTTGATTGACTATTCACTTTTTTATAAACTGTATTTTTAATCTGGCGCTGATCTCAAACCAAAATATACGATTACCATCTAAATGAACAGCAGTAAAAAGATTAACTTGAACCCAGCATTTGGTACATAATACACTTTGTAGAGCTAAAGTGCTATCATTAATGGACTGCGCTCATATCCGTCGCAGCTTTCCCACAGAAGACCAGCACGCATAAACGGTGGAATCTCTGCAATAACAAGCTTACCTCAGACATGGTGAAGGCAAGAGGTATGGCACCCGCTAAATAACATCCTACCAACATGCAAAAACTTAAACAAAATAGTCTGGATACATCATCCATCTCGAGGTGGAGAAGTTATTTTTTTATCTAAAATACGTCACTTAGGTACTAATACTTTGCTTTCAGATGACTCAAAATTAATAAGATTTCACAAAAATTCAAATTTCCGAGCATCAAAGAGAATTATTTCCCAATCTCTTTATCTTCCTACTTGTGACACGCGTCCGACAGTCCAGCTGTGTAACCGCGCATCTGTGTCAGCGGTATAGTTTGGCGACGATACCGCTGACAAGGAGCCAAGATGACCCTGGACTCGAGATTGGTTTTTCCGAGAATTATCTTCCGCGGGAACTTCCCAGAAATAAAGGGTAGCATTACGAAATCTTCTGTTTAGGGAAAGTTATGGAAGGTACGTTTAACTTAAGTTCCTAGTTTGGTTCAAGCGCTAATTCTTTCAATACTACGCGTGGAAAGGTACAGCAACATATTTTGTCAATGGATAGACTTCAAATCGAATACAATTTTGCGAAGGTAAGGGGCTGGCAGCCAAACACGGGTTTGTTTTTGAGCATGATCGATGACAAAACACAAGAATTGAACATTTCAGGGATTTTTTACCGTTTGAAAATTGCACCTAACCTATTCTTGTTCGAACGTGGGGAAAAATTTAGAACGGGGATAATTTATTGCCTGAAGATCGAAGCCTCTAGGGCAGTGTTCAGCTGAGAAAATTGAAATCTGCCAAATTATATGCACGAACTCGTCTTCCATATATACACTTCAATCGGTTTGAAATACAGTATGGTGTAGTTTTATCGATATCTCGCCACGTTCCTTCACGGTGTTCCTGTTATGGTATTTTATATTTGTATGGCGTACTAAGCATCTCGCCGATCGCCGATGTCCAGAGGCTAAGTTGCATCAAAGTGATTCGCTCTGTAATTTCTGATAGAGAATGACTCATCAAGAAAATATTCCCGAAAAGTATTACTGATCCATTCTTCATTTGAATCAACCAGTAATTGGTAAACCGTTCAATGAAATGCGGAGAATAAAACGAAGCCATTTCAGAAAAGCCCCTTCGATAACCAAGTTATTAAAATCAAAATAGAAAAGGGTATTCGCCACTTTTCAAAACGAGTAGTTTCAACCATAGACCGCCCACGCTCCAGCTGTGAGATGATCATCTTACGTAATGGCGAAATTATAAGAGTTTGTATGGGGATATTTACGACCACTCGTAGAAATAAAAAAATGAGGTCAAATTCTCACTAAAAGCACCTCACCTTACTTCTACAAAGCATTGCCTGTTTCCCTGACAGCTTACCATGTTGAAACGAAGCCATTATTAACGAATATCCACTTCTAAGTTTTCTACTCCTAAGAGGAGTAGGAAACCTTTATTTTTTATTTAAACTTCCTAAGAGCGGTCGTAAATATTCCCATACAAACTTTTTTAATTTCGCCATTACGCTTATTACGCAAGATGATCATCTCACAGCTGGAGTTCGGGTTGCCTGTGTTTTAACAAGTTGCCAAACTATTCTGCTTTAGAGCTTTTAGCGCTTTCCACGTGAGAACCACTTTGCAACAAAATTTCCGCATTTTAATCTGACAGTCTCCTGAAAAGAGGATCCTTGCAGTTATTTTATCCAATGTCCAGGAAGACTTTTTCGTCTTCTTATTGTTTACTGATATCGACGTGGTTTTCTCCCGTTTAGAACGACAGTGGCTGTGTTGTAATCAGTGTAGTTGGAGCATTTTCAAAACTTACAGTAGCTGAAAATGAAAGGTATAGTTTAATTCGCCGTTAGCGAAACTGTTTGCCTCTTCCTGAATTCGTCTTCGCCCACAAGAGTGCGCTAATATTCGAAGGGGGTGTTTAAAGCCTTCATAAATGACCACTACTGAGTGTCTGATAGTGAGTTGGGCTGTATTTTCGAATTTCTAGAGTTTTCCCTTAGAAAGGGAATCAGAATTTCCACGTTTTTCATTTGAGCGTTCAATTTACTTTTTAGGGAAGAGTAAATCCACTGACAGACCCACGTGGCCTGGAAACAGAAATCTCTAAGGTAAAACAGCTCCCTTTTTGAGTGACGATGGACGAGAATATAGAACTTGAAATATCAGAGCTGCCAAACAGTGTGCAAGCACATATTCAGCATATTCTCAAGCAGAATTCAAGCCTCTCTAGTCAATATGCTAAAGGGTTAGGAACAGTTCTGATGACACTAGCGGCACTGCCCTTCAAAGACGAAATACAAAGAGAAAACTTCTTTGGAAAGATACAGAGTTTGCAGGGTTACCACATCATTAAAATTTTCAACTTAGGAGCCGCTCCACGTCAAAAATCTGCGAAAGAATCTTCAGTCCAAATTCTGGAGGATGTGACCAAGATTTTTGACATTTGTATGTCTTTTTGCTATACCAGTGACGTGTCGAAGCGAATCTCTTTTGACCTTTACCTGAGTGCATTGAAATTCTGTTTTCCCCCGGGTAATGAGCAAAGCCTACCAATTACAGTTCTTTCTTTGTTACTCGAACTTGTACAGACTATTCAGCACGAAAATATTAAAGCTGAGCTGAAATCACACGCAAATTTCATGGTTGACCGACTTAATGTTACTACCAGGGATTTCTTTGGAAAAATTCTTGATGTCTTTGAAAGGAGGCGACACGATGGCGACCTCTTACAAATAATTCATCAAACGGTGAGGCTCGCTACTGCAGACGAAAAACTTGCGTTTAAACTAGTCGAGGATACGACATTGCAAGGCAAACAAACACTTTCCTCTTTTCTGTTGGTCAAGTGGATAAACCTCCTGGAATTAGCAAGCGTTAGCAATTGTTTTGCGGTTTCTCTGGGTGATGTTGATCTTTCTGGAAAGAAAATCGAACCGTTCTTTTCAGGTGTACAAAGATATCGAGCATATAAATTTCCATACCAATCTACCATTTCATATTTTTGGACAGTTTTGGAGGAGATCAATACGAACTGTAGCAACTTTAGAATTCCTAACGACAAGCATAGGATGGAAATATTCGTTAGTCATGTAAGGCACTTTTGTGTCCATCCTAAGATTGCTACCTTATCACTCCAGTTACTAGCGGCGAAAAGTATTTCCAATGAAGTGTTGAGACAAACTCTTGAAGTGTTCTTCCATAAACAAAGAAAGGAAACTGACCTCACTGAGAAAGCCTTAGAGCTTATTTTAAAAATTTCACTAATACGTCCTGATGGTGAACTGCTGAAAAAGATCATCGAATTCTGGAGAGGTGCTTTTTCAAATTAGCCAGGTCACGCCGCCAGTCCTGTCTGCCTGTTGGGCCTTTTCGAGGATGAATCAAATAACGAAAGTGAAATGGCGAAGAGGATATTTAATTTCCTTGAACGACTTCCTCGTCCTTTGTTACTCTTGATGCCATTTTGGCAAAAGATCTTATGTTGTCTCATAAAGATAATTCCAAAATGTTTTGACTTGAGACATGAGGTGTTAGTATTGATCCAGAAAGCAGCTGAACTGGCAGAGAAAGCACTTCAGGGACAGTATCAGTCCTATTTCACCAACTTCCACGTACTAACTGTCCAACGTTTACAGTGGTTATGTGAACAAGACTGTACAGAGGATGCCAAGAGAGAGATGGTTTTGCTTCTGTCTAGTATTACTCACAGTGCAACAATGAACCACGGATTGGCGACAAAACTTGATACAAGACTATTAATATCCCTACATTTTTGTGAACAATTGTCATTTAGTTCCAAGGAGAACGTTGTTCGTGAACTTATTTCTCTGGAACCACGTTTAGAGGAAGAGGATCAGGAAGCTTTAAAACTATCCATAAAAAGTATTGCATCAAGTCCAGATTGCGTAGAGGAAATATTTTGTGAAATGTTTTCTCTTGTTAAGAATTTTGTCGATCGAAAAGGGCCCAAGACTACAACTGAAGTCTTTTTCGAAACTCTGTTGTGTTTGTCGACAGCGCCAATATCTAATGATAGAAGACTTAAAGTGATCAGGGACCTCTGGAATAGTGAATCTGAAACTGGTTTTGAGAGTTCTAGGTGTATTTTGCTGCTATTGAAAACACGAGAGGGTTTCCTCGGAGATGGAGGAGATGAATACTTTGATCTTCTGGTTCGCTTAGTTCTTGAGACTTTTAGAAGTGATTTTGGTTTATGTGAACAGCTAAAATATGCTCTAGAGCTACATTTTAAGTTCCCCTCATCATTTGTTCTAAACGTATGGACTTCTGCGGTCGCTGTATTGATATCCTTAGGAATGTATAAGGAAAACATCGACTCGTTCTGTTGCCTTCCTGTTCTTCGAAATGCACATGGATTTGATTCACCATCTGAAATTCTTCAACTTTTATTTCTAGCGAGATCAACGGCTCTCACTCTATCAAGACACAACTTAGAGCCTAACTTGCACCGTGGTTCCGAAGCCTTTTTACGTGGCTTCTCCGTTGGAGGAAACAACCACTTAGGGAACTTTGTACAGGCTTCTACAATCGTCCTTGCTACGGACACCCTCTCTACTACACAAAAAATGTTTCTGGTCGAGAAAGTGCGCGATGTCATACTTGGCGAACCTCAATTGTCGACTGCGTTAACGTATGCCTTGAGACGTCTTATCCCCTACATTTCTGGCAAAAACGAGATCCAAGCGAAGTTTGATCGTATCATTGACATACTGGATAATCCTAAATTGGTAACTGAGGTCTCACGCATTCCAAAAGCTGTTAATACTGATGATCTTTTTCGAGTGGTGTCCAAACACATGTCAGACGTATCATCTGAAGTAAAATCAGTGGAGGTGCTCCTGTTCTTTGCCTCCTTACAAGACACAGATGAAAAGTTACTCATACATTTGTTACCTTTTGTTGAGATGGCCATGGAGAAATCCTCGTCAATGGAGGACGCTCTAATAGTTGTGAAAGAGCTGGTGCAATTGCTTCGTCAGGTTCAAACAGAACTGATTCCTTTTATGTTAATCAACTTCGCGTATTTCATCGAAAACCCAGGCGACAAACAAGAAAGAGACAAATTTCTCTTAGAAATTTCCGTGAGATGGAAACCTTCCAGCCACGGAGTGCTTTCGTTTTTGGAAGTTCCGCGACTTCTATGGAAAGACTACAGTACCATCAGCGATCCAGCGAAGAGAGGTGAGCTGATCGGTCGTGTGCAAGAAGTTATTAGTAGGAACGAAACGTCGCGGAACGAAGGGGTGGTGAATGAAACCCGCGACCAGTTTCTAGAACTGCCAGTTAAAAAGTTATTTGGGCTCACAGCAACAGCCTCTATAAGTGGACGGATCGCTTCCTGTGGGCTGGAGTGGCTCGTTTTCTATTCCCCGCTCTCAAACGAGGATGCCGCTCTTGCGTTCGACCTCAGCTGTAATTTCTTTGGAACGCCAGGCTATCGTCGAAGATATTCATCTCTCTCTGACGTTAGGATAGAAGATGGAAGTTTCAAGTTTTATAGGGATAAAACAGCGCCTGAAGTGCTTAACGGAACAACTTGTGTAACACCCTTGGTTGAAGAGGGATCAATGTCGGCAGACACGAATACACGAGAGGCTATTCTTATACCGGTTTTAATGGCCCAGAAAGTGATTCTTTGTTTGACTCGACTGCTTGGGCCACTGGAAAACCTCACTGAAAATGTCCTCTCCGTTTGGAAAATTGTCTGTGAAGCACAGCAAGAGGCTAGATCTGTTGATCGCTGTGACTGCGATTTTTTTTTCGATGATTACCAAGATATTTTCGAGTCAATTCTCGCAGAAGCATCCTCTAAAGAAATTGTGTCCCTCTGGGCAAGCCAAAATCCGCACCATGCTGTTCAGTGGTCAGAGGTTATTTTGAGTGCATGCAGATGGCAAAAAAAAGAGATAGGAGGTATTGACAATGAAGCTGTTTTAAATTTTCAGACTCTTGTCATTACAACATTACGTAAAATGCGGCCATCTCACCTGCGATGCTTCAAATATCTCAAGTCAGACCTGGAGCACTTGAGTATCTTTCTTGAGTGCCGATTGCCGATTGAAGTGACGAAAGGAGTTCTTGAACTCTATCAGGTCGATATACAAGCAGGGGTTAATATTGGAGAAATTGTCTCTTCGTGGTGCTCTATTGAACAGTCCCTGTCACTGTTGGAGAATGTTCGATCTTACTTCAGAGCGGGCGAGATGTTACCCAGCGATTTTGTCTGGCAGCTTCTAAAATCATTTGTTCGTCATGGTAAGATAGACTCGTGTGAAGGTGTTCTGGCCATGTATGAGCACCTACAAGACCTACGTGACCCAGAAGATCCGTATGGTCTCAACAGGTTGCCCACATGGCAAGAGGCAATGATAGTGGCAGGAGATTGCACAACAAGGTCAATCGACTCCTGGTGTGTAGCCTTCCTGAAAACTCCGTTCGTCGATCTTAAGTCGCGGGACATTGATGCCATTGCCAGCCTAGATTTCGACGCTCTGCAACTTATCGCACCTGTGTCAGAAACAATCAAAAGAGTAATCTTTCCTGAAGATGGCTTTCAAGTCACAGAAGGAGAAGGAATCAAGTCGAGTTCTATTAGAGAACGCATTCGGCTAGCTAAGTTAATTGGGGATTTTATCGAAATTGTGAGGCTTCTGAAACCCAGCGAAAATCCCAAAGTTGCAAATGTCACAGACATCGTTGTCGGTGCCTGCAATGAACTTTGCACAGCCTTTGAGAGTGGGAGAAAGAGAAGTGAGCTCTACAAAATTCGTAGCCAGGCGCTGAAGGCTATTTTCACAGAAATATTCCTGAATGAAAAAGATAGTACAGATATCCTTATGACAAACCAGCCCTCTCGTTTGCAGGAAAACCCGACACCGTCTGTATTGAGAAACAATGAACATCTTGACCCAGTACTGGAGCCTTTGCTACGGCGTTGGCTTTTAGGGATCTTTGGTAAAAGACCATCTCTAGCCTCTCTTACTTTGGAAATTCTTCAGCTACTTCCTTCCGACGTTGACCTTGCTCATCGTCCAGAGTTTCAAGCCGACATTCAGGCTCACATTTTATCGTTTGAAAGAAATCAATCGCTCATGGCCCAACTTCAAGCAGTGGGATACAACCGAAGAGAGCGAGACAATCCAGACCTATGGTCCTCACCTACTATTGAGCTCTCTTGCTTCCTTAGCAATCGCGCATCATCGACTCTCAGAACCTATCGCAAGAAACTGGCAGAGGTCCTAAGGTCTCACTGGTATGGCTGGACGGACCTGCTTTCCATGTTTAAGGTTGACTCTGTTGACGTTGGTGGGATTGAGGTTCGCAGAGAAGATCTTTTTGGATTTCAGGCATCCTTAGAAGTGATGGAGGAGCAGGTAGCTGCCGTAAAGGAACAAGCCAGGAAACTTAGCTCTGCACCCATTAATCTAGAGTTCTTCAGTTCACCACATGAAATTGAGAGACAGATTCAAAACTTGATACGCTGGGAACAGCAAGATCGCAGAAGGATAGCAAAGCTGTACGATCACCCTAGCGTGAGTAAACCTTACCCAATAAGTAGTGATATATTAGTAATTTGAATAGATGGATTTTCGGCTGAAAACCGTTTTCTTTTAAGCTTTTTTCTCAATATCAAGAATGAAATTTAAAACCGAATTCAAAGCTTATTGAGGTACAGAGTAGCCTATTGGTAAAGCAGAATGGTAGCTTCACCACGCGAAAAATTATTCAAATCAAGCCCTAACTGAGAGTACTCGAAAATCAAACATTTCTGATGATATTATTCCAACTGACTTGAAATCTTTTCATCATTCTTTCCAGATTCCTGATAAACGTCAAGAAATGAAGAAATTTGCAGCAGTTTGGGAAAACCGGTTTCTTGAGCAGGTGAATCAATGCTCGGAGAGAATTCCAGGCAAGTTAAAATTTGTACTCTGACGTCCTTAGGAAAATTAGACGTAATCTGCAGACGAATGCAAAATGGACGCTATCTCTTATTTGCATCTTTGCAATATAAACGTTGGAACTCACTCCTGAACTTCTTGAGAAATCCTGATTTGACGCAAGAATCTTGCATATCAATCTTTCAAATTATCTGTTGTATGATACTCAGTGATGTTAAATTTTCTTGTAGAAAATTTTAATATTGATTATTGATTAATATTTTGTTTTAGTCTTTTCTGGAAGAAATTTGCTCTGTAAAGCTACTCTCAAATTCGATTAAAAAAAATTATGTTGGTCATGTATATTGATAGACTGGCAGATAGATGGATAGATAGGTAGGCAGACAGACAGACAGACCGATAGATTGACAGACCGACCGACCGGGACACACACACACACACACACACACACACACATACACACACATACACACACACACATACATACATACATTCTACATACATTTATACATTCATATACTTCAGTTGTTTTATTTGGATGTCAAAGAAACCATTAATTATCTATTTCTTCCGCGTGAATTACTAGCTAAGGTGCTACTGCTTTGTCCTTGCGTTTCTCATTACTTTTGCATGAAATTCAAACTTGAAGGTTGTTACGCCCCCAATGGTTTCCACGCCGAAAAACCTGTCATTTGTGCTCTGTCCGTGGACAACAGGATGCTGACCGTGTTCAAGGAGGAAAATGGTCGTAGAGAAGAGATCGAAAATGTTGAGGTTAAACTCTTTGAAGTTGGAATGTTTGTTTATGGTCTGCACACCAGTGGCCACGATTACGTCACTGACGAGCTCTGGGCTGCGTTTTATAAGATGCTGCTGGAAAAGGGATTGGTGCCAAGGATTGTTTTGTCCCCTGAGAGCCCAGGATTTGACTGGATAAGGAACTTTGCGACACCTGGTATGTTCGAAAATGTTGTCGCCTTTAATCTGATCTAGATACAAAAGGGCACAAATACTAGCATACATTGGGCATGCAGGTTTTAGGAGAGGCCAATTTTCAATGTCAAATTGGAAAGTTTGAGGAATTGAATGTTTGAATTGGCTCAGAGTTTGCTGAACGATAATACAAATCTCTGTAGATGATAAGACTCACTCTTGGTGTTGCCTAAAATATTAGTGTAGCTTATTATCATCTTGATCCAAAGAAGTTTTTGCTCTTTATTTACTGGCAGATACGAGCCTTCCCTATCCAGAGAAGTGGGAACTACACACGGGCATTGTTCCCAAACAGGAAGATGTATTCGACTACCTCCCGATAAGCACAGCCATGTGGCAGGAATCTATGGAATTTATAACCCTAACAACGGAGAATGTTGCAGGTTTTCGGTTCAGTGATCTTAAGGTAAGTAGCTGTTATTTTTCTCGTTGTTTCTCGGTATGTGAGGTGAATTAGAAAATTTATCTACGACAGTCTTTAATTGCGGCATCAATTGTGATTGCAGGGAATGCTTTGTAAACAAAGATTATGCAATAAATAAATATAGGTCACCGTGCGCCTTCAAGAGCTTTTAAGCTTTTAAAAAACCATAGTACGTGTTTGAAACAAGAGACAAGTAGACAGCGAGTAGCGAGAGCTTGCACTCTGAGACTTTTTGAAGTTAAAAACACCTCGTAAGCATTTGTTACGCGTTCGATTTTCGTGTGTGCGAGTTTTTCAGTATTTCAGCATGGCCGAGTTGTTACGGTAAGGCTGGGTTAGTAAAACCCAGGCTTACTATGAAATTTGAAGGCTTTAGAAAAATATCTAGTGGATTATATTTCTTTTTGTGTAGAATGTGATTATTGGATAATCTTCAAAGAAAAGAGAAAATTATCCCGAAAAGCATATGTATGCATTCGAGGAAGGGAATAAAGAAAAATTAAAATTTAACCTTGGGTTAGCGCTTATTGGCCTTCGAACAACAAGGCCCCAGCAGTTTTGGGCGAGTCTCTTTTGAGTGGTTTATTCATTTTGGTCTAAGAGTTCACCGCGTTTCTGTTTGGTATTTTTTTCCCCTGTTTTTCGAAGATTTTTCGTTTCCGCTTCAGACCGCGCCCTCTGATTGAGAAAAACAACCCGCCATTCCGCTAATTCGCTCGTTTTCAGTAAGCAAGAGCCTAGCACAAGCTAAATTATCATAAGAGTCAAGTAAGTTTCCTTCACTGCATTTTTTCCCAAGGACGCCAGCATCGTTGAGGAGAAAGGAAAACGAACGAAACAAATGGCTGGCACAGCCATTAAACAACTCCAACTCGAACTGAAGCTTCTGCACGGAGACCACGAACCAATCAAGGCAACTTTGGTAAAAAGATTAACGTGGTCAATCAAGGAGACGGTGAAGGGCATCCTCGATGGTGTACAGCCTACGCTAGAGACCGTGAAGGAACTTATCGACATGGACAAACTTACTTTTAGACTCCCAGAAGTGAAGAGAAGTGACAAGAGTAAACAAAAGTACGCAGCCGCAGTACTCCGTGCATGTGAGCATGCGCGATTGACATTTGCTTCCACCACAGTGCAATAACTTGCTACAAAGGGTCTCCTCCGAATATGGGACNTTAGAAGTGATGGAGGAGCAGGTAGCTGCCGTAAAGGAACAAGCCAGGAAACTTAGCTCTGCACCCATTAATCTAGAGTTCTTCAGTTCACCAGAAGAAATTGACAGACAGATAGAAAACTTGATACGCAGGGAACAGCAATATCGCAGAAGGATAGCAAAGCTGTACGATCACCCCAGCGTGATTAAACCTTACCCAGTAAGAAGCGATATATTAGTAATTTGAATAGATGGATTTTCGGGTGAAAACCGTTTTCTTTCAAGCTTTTTTCTCAATATCAAGAATGAAATTAAAAACCGAATTTAAAGATTATTGATGTACAGAGTAGCCTGTTGGTAAAGCAGAATGATAGCTTCACCACGCGAAAAATTAGTAAGATAAAGCCCTAACTGAGAGTACTCGAAAATCAAACATTTCTGATGATATTAGTCCAACTGACTTGAAATCTTTTCATCATTCTTTCCAGATTCCTGATAAACGTCAAGAAATGAAGAGATTTGCAGCAGTTTGGGAAAACCGGTTTCTTGAGCAGGTGAATCAATGTTCGGAATTCCAGGCAAGTTAAAATTTGCATTCTGACGTCTTTAGAAAAATTAGACGTAAATGCAAAATGGACGCTATCTATCATTTGCATCTTTACTATATAAATGTTGGAACTCACTCCCGAACTCCTTCAGAAATCCTGATTAGACGCAAGAATCTTGCTTATCAATCTTTCAAATTATCTGTTGTATGATACTCAGTGATGTTAAATTTTCTTGTAGAAAATTTTAATATTGATTATTGATTAATATTTTGTTTTAGTCTTTTCTGGAAGAAATTTGCTCTGTAAAGCTACTCTCAAATTCGATTAGAAAAAACTTATGTTGGTGATGTATATTGATAGACTGGCAGATAGATGGATAGATAGATAGGCAGACAGACAGACAGACCGACAGATTGACCGGCCGACCGACCGACATACATACACACACATACCTGCATACCTTCTACATACATTCATACATTCATATACTTCAGTTGTTTTATTTGGATGTCAAAGGAACCATTAATTATCTCTTTCTTCCGCGTGAATTACTAGCTAAGGTGCTACTGCTTTGCCCTTGCGTTTCTCATGACTTTTGCATGAAATTCATGCATTTCATAGTTAATTTACATATATTATTTGCTAACTCGACACACTAGCTGCACATGCTAGGAGCCTAACAAGCTCCAATTGATCGAGTATAAATAAAGTTGTTGTTGTTGTTGTTGTTTATTCAAACTTGAAGGTTGCTACGCCCCCAATGGTTTCCACGCCGAAAAACCTGTGATTTGTGCCCTGTCCGTGGACAATAGGATGCTGACTGTGTTCAAGGAGGAAAATGGTCGTAGAGAAGAAATAGAAAATGTTGAAGTTAAGCTCTTTGAAGTTGGAATGTTTGTTTATGGTGTACACACCAGTGGCCACGATTACGTCACCGACGAGCTCTGGGCTGCATTTTATAAGATGCTGCTGGAAAAGGGATTGGTGCCAAGGATTGTTTTGTCCTCTGAGAGTCCAGGATTTGACTGGATAAGGAACTTTGCGACGCCTGGTAAGTTCGAAGCTGTTCTCACCTTCAACCTGATCTAGATACAAAAGTGCACAAATACTAGCATATCCTGGGCGTGCAGGCTCTAGGAGAGGCCAATTTTCAATGTTAAATTGGAAAGATGATGCAACGAAGACACGCTTAAGATGTTGCCTAAAATATTAGTGTAGCTTATTATCATCTTCATTCAAACAGGTTTTTGCTCTTTATTTACTGGCAGATACGAGCCTTCCCTTTCGAGGGAAGTGGGAACTACACACGGGTATTGTTCCCAAACAGGAAGATGTATTCGACTACGTCCCAACAAGCACAGCCATGGGGCATGGATCTACGGAATTTATTACCCTAACAACAGAGAAGGTCGCCGGTTTTCGGTTCAGTGATTTTAAGGTGTGTAGCTGTTACTTTTCTAGTTGTTTCTCGGTATGTAAGATTTCATTGGTAAATTAGAAAATTTATTTACGATCAAAATTCTAGGATGATATCATGATCTGTTTGTAGCATGTTTACTGTAGGTACCCACGATATATCAGTCGAGAGTACTTCAGTAAACATGATCCGTCTGCTGTGTCGAGCGAAAGAACAGGCAGCAACATCAATTGTGAATGCGGGGAATGATTTGTAAACGAATATTATGCAATAAAAAGAAATGCAGGTCACCGTGCTCCTTCAAGAGCTTAAAAGCATCGTACATGTTTGAAACAAGACAGAACCGAACTGTGTGATGCGCAACCAGCGGGAGCTTGCATTCTGAGACTTTTCTAATTTGAAACACATCGTAAGCGTTTGTTACGCATATGATTTTCACGTGTGCGATTTTCTAGTGTTTCAGCAGATTCGGGTTGTTCAAAGCTGGGTGAAGAAAACCCAGGCTTAGTTTGAAATTTGAAAGCTTTAAAAGAAAATTCAGTATGTTTCTTTTTGTCTATAATTTAATTATTGGATACTCTTAAAGAAAAAAAGAGAGAAAATTATTTCGAAAAGGCTTTTAAAGAAAGGAATAAGGAGACCCTGATGAAAATTTAACCTTGGGTTAGCGCTTATTAGCCTTCAAACAACTGACCCCCAGTTATTTTGGTCGAGTAGCTTTTAATTAAGTGGTTTGTTCATTTTGGTTTAAGAGTTCATGGCGTTTAAGTTTGGTTTTTTTATTTTCCCTGTTGTTCGGATAGTTTTTCTACCACTTCTGAACACGCCCACTGATTTGGAGAAACAACGCGCCTTTCAGCCAATTCACTCGTTTTCAGTACTTGAAAAAGAGCCTTGCTAAATTATTATCAGAAATTATTATTTTAGCTAAATTATTATCAGAGTCGAGTAAGTTTCCTTCACTACATTTTTTCCCAAGGACGCCAGCATCGTTGAGGAGAAAGAAAAAAGAAAGAAACAAATGGCTGGTACAGCTATTAAACGACTCCAACTCGAACTGAAGCTTCTACACGGAGACGACGAAAAAACCAAGACAAGTTTAGTGAAAAAATTAACGTCGTCAGTCAAGGAGACGGTGAAGGGCATCCTTGATGGTGTACAGCCTACGCTAAAGACCGTGAAGGAACTTATCGATATGGAAAAACTTGCTTTTGGACTCTCTAAAGTGAAGGGAAATGACGAGAGTAAACAACAGTACGCAGCCGTTGTACTTCGTGCATGTGAGCATGCGCGATTGACATTTGCTTCGACCACGGTACAATAACTTGTTACAAAGTGTCTCTTTCGAATTTGGGAACCTCTCACAGTAAAATTCCTTCCGAGGAAACTACTCGAATTTACCAGTTGTAAAGCATTTTTCTTTCCAGTCAGAAGGGTAAGAGCCCTAGACTCATTGCCGGGTCACTATCATTTAATACCGTATGGTCGGTATCTAAAAAATTCATTTTATTCAATAGCGTAATTAGTATTCCTTAAGAAGAAGATATCTTGTCAAATTGCTTTAAGCAGCTCAAACATTTAGTTGCAGTCGTATTTGTAGGCGTAATTGTATTCGTAATTGTAACCGTTTTTATGTCACACAAAGACGCCTTTACCTCAAGGTACAACCTTCTTAGAGAAATCGGAAGAGTGTGAATGAATTAGTCAAAATAAAATCCCCAGTAATGTCTACTTATGGACGCTTGAAATCGAAAAAAAGTTTCAAGTCTTTTCTCCCATTAAGAGATTATATGATGACAAGGGTTGAATGGGCGTTCAAACAGGGTTTAATGCTAAGACAGCCTGTAGCTGAACTGTCATTTAACGAGAATTCAGTGAAAACAAAAAAGCTTAAAAGAAATGTCGACCTTTGAAGGTTCGTGATCGCGAATTCCGTTAAGATTTTGCGACGATTTGTCCTTAATTAATGGAACGGTTTTCTTAATTAATTTTTATTTTATTTTAACAATTTAATGGCAGCATAATAAACAAAAGAAATAAAAAAGAAATACCATAGGGATAGTCCGTAAAAGAGTCAAAGACCCCATGCTCAGACAGACGACCCAGCTAATGAAAAGATATGCATAATAAATATACAAGGACAAAGAAGATATAAAAGTAAATTAAATATCCTATTCAGTTGTTCAACAAGAAATTTATCACACCACGCTTAAAACTTGGAATACTAGATGCTAATCTGACGTGAAATGGAAGCGAATTCCACATGTCCACAATACGATTGAAAAAACTAAATTTAAGCGCGTTTGTTAGAGTATAGTTCTTTAAAGTTAGGCTGTCTTTACCTCTTAGGGGGGTACCTATCAGTATCAGAATAGAATTGGACATATGGAGAAATGTCTAAATTAATGTATTCGTTCAGAGCTTTATCAAAAAGAGTACATCAAAAAGAAATCGTCTATGCTCTAGAGACAGTAAATTAAGTTTAGAGATACGAACTTCATAGTCATCATCAGATTTGTGAATGAACTTTGTTGCACGACGTTGTATTCTTTCCAATTTAGTAATATTTTTCGCAGTGAAAGGTGACCAAACAACAGACCCGTATTCCAGCTGTGACCAAACCAGAGCGCGATATAAAGTTCTTAGTGTTGAAACATCCTTCAAATCTCTGCAATTCCTCTTTATTAAATCAAGCACTCTGTTCGCCTTACTGGAAATCTTATCTATGTGAGAGTTCCAGGACAGCTTGTGGTTAGTTAGCAAGCCAAGATCTGAAAATTCAGCTGTAACTTCAAGGGTGGCACCACCCAGTTGTAGAGGAGCAAGAATAGGGGAGCGATTCCTGGTAATCCGCATTAACTTGCATTTTTTGGTATTGAAGCTCATATGATTTAGTCGACTCCAAGAAACCAGGTTATTTAGGTAATCTTGAAACGACGCATGATCGCATGGATGCTCAATGACCCTTGAGATTCAATTTTACAGTCATCTGCATATAAAGCCACCAAACTTGTAGGAGAAATAACATCAGGAAGATCACTAATAAAAATCACGAAAAACAGGGTGCCTAAAAGGGACCCCTGAGGTACTCCTAAAGGGATAGGTTGCCAGTCGGAGCTCACCCCCATCTAGTACTATCCTCTACTCACGGCTTGATAAGTAGTCTTTGCACCAGTTTAAAAGGCAACCAGAGAAACTGAAGTTACATAATTGTTGCAGTAAAATAACGTGGGATACTTCGTCAAACGCTTTACTAAAATCCAAGAAGACTGCATCAACCTGATGCCCAGCATCCAAAGCTTTAGACCAGTGATGGTGAGTGAGTGAGTTTTCGAATATAAACTGACTGAGTAGTTACAATGGCGAATTAGAATGAAGGGAAGTATCTGCGATGCATTTTTCTTCCTTTTCATCGGCCGATAGCCCACCTCGTGAACATCGGATAACTGATTACAAATAATGGTGTGGCTCTATTGGTTTTTGTAACTAATTGCTTACACGACGGCGTAGTTGTATGATCGCTCGAGGATAATGGCTGATCGCTCCCTTAAGCTGTCAGAAATTTATTCTCGGCAAAAAGGCTTCGAAACAAACACGTTGAATTAACTTGGCTATCGCAAATAAATTATTCATTGTTCACCAATTTCCTCCGTATGTCTTCAGCTTCGCCAAAGATAAATCGCCATGCTTTGCTTACGCTCGTTTAATAACTGGGAATACTTTTGACACCTGTAAGGATCTTCATGTTATTTCTCATCATTTACACTTCAAATTGTGGTGCGTCTCACGTATTCTTGATCAGATTTCTTTGGTTGCTAGAGATAAAAAATAAGCGATAGAAAGACTAACTCAAGCGATTTGGATTCGCTCTGTACTAATTGATTAGGAATTTTTCGCTAAAAATTGGCGGTGTAAACCCTTTTTTTCTCTTTTTCACTATGTAGACATGCATAACGTTGAGATACTTGCCTCTTAATTTCTGATGAAAGTAGAACAAAATCACGAATGTAACAGCTGTAAATTGAGCCATTTGTATTCGTTACTATTTCCGAGAAAGTCTTCTCTGATTTCCCGGAAATCATATTACAAATCCAATGGGGAAAGTTGGAGAAAACGCTTTGAAAGCGCCGAGAACATTTCTTTCTAAAATCGTTTTGCGCAAGAAAACTGTTTTGATGAGAATCAAACTACCACCAAGATCATTTGATCTCTCTTATAACGACCCCATGAAAATATCGAGGTTGTCGTCGGGAAAGCGAGATGCTGAGTTTGGTTCCTTTGAAGTCTGGTTATATCATACATTTCGAGGCAGAAAATCGAAAGTTTTTTTATGTATCAAATCAACAACGATTTCACAAAATGATAATATTATCTAAACCATGTTCCAAATTTTAAAGACGATAAAAGTCCTCTGATGAAAGCGGATTTCATTTCCGGTTTCCCTGACTAATATTGACAGATTTGTGTCAGCGGCACAACTTCTAGCCTCGTTTTCGTTTGTTTTTTCCTAAGAGATTTTTGCATCGGGAGTTTTCGAAACTGAAGGTGATCACTGAGCAAATTTACAAAGGGTTGTCTCTTTTAGGAGGTGAAATCATGAGGTAAGTAAAATAAAAATTTCAATCTTTTCTTAAAAGGCTTTCTCCTCTTCTCATATCTACTTTCCAAAGGCCTTACAAAAGGTATTATACACGAGAAACTTCGAGTTTGAATAATCATTGCTCGCGTGAGAAGGGAAATGGGAACGACAGGTATTGTAACAGCTCGTTCGCTTGCGTGCAAACTTGATTTTAACGCTTTTACCTGGACTTTTCAGGTTAAAAAAATGAAGTTTATTAGGCCCTTAACGATGAAAAGAAAAGGAAAAAAAGGCTTTCACCAATAGAGGGTAAGTTTTTTATTTTCAATGAGATGGTTATTCTTCCTGTACATTTAGTTGTAAGCTTTCTTCTTAAGACTAGTTGCAGATCGACAGAAAATTAATAACTGTAATTAATAACTGTTAGCTCAATGGATAGAGCGCTGGACTGTTGTGCGGGAGGTCGAGGGTTCGAGCCCCGGCCGGACCAACACTCAGGGTCTTAAAATAATTGAGAAGAATTTGCTGCCTTTCTATAACATCAAGAAATGGTTAGATATTCTAGTCTTCTCGGATAGGGACGAATAAATGGAGGTCCCGTCTCCTGCAGGGTTGGGGTAGGAGACGTTAATTTCCCACACACGAGATTACTGTGTGATGGATGTCCTCCCCTGGGGTGGGATGGGTGGGAGGGTGGACTAGCACGAATGGTTCCTATGTTCCTTTCTAGTCCTTCCCCACTGCAAAACTTAATGCAGTGAAAATGGACTGAATTAAATTAAGTTATTCATCATGCGGGCATTCTCTTTCTACCTGAGATTTCTAACATTTTGCTGTTCCCCTCATAACTCACAAACAAACTTTTCATTGGGAAAGGGAGTCGGGCGTCATTTTGAAACTAAGGGAAAAGGGGTTTTCCCCTAGTATTTGAATGCATGGATTACTTATTTGGAAGCTTTAAGCAACTAAAAATAGTGGTGAAAATAAAAGTTTATTAGAGCTGCAACTTTCCAACTAATGTTTCAGCGTTCAGGGTGGATTAGGGTGAGAATACTTGCTAGGTTAAGAGGAGCAAGGCTCTCCTGCTTTCACCTACTGCAAAAGACTAATGAGCCAAATCTCAACTTGACCTTTTAGTGCATACGCTTACTACGAGTTCATAAACTGATTGGCATATGCTAATAAAGATTTCCATTTTATGTTCTTTGAATCCATGTCTCTTCTTAGCTTGTGCCCCAGCACTGTCACAGTGTTTGAGGTATCCCTGAGTTTTGGGTATGCCTGTACCCAAAACTCTAGTGTTTTGGGTATTCCCTCTGGGGATATCTAGAACTCTAAAAGTGAATTAAATGACAGACTGGGGCAAGTGACATGGCATGCTCTTTTATTTGTCTTGGACAAAAAATAATTACTTGTAGTTGTCATCCAATGTTAATTCTTGCACTAGAGATTGTGGTTGGTAAAGAAAGGTGTTCATATGTCATGAAGTATCTTGGAATGAGTGATCAGTAAGCACTTTCAAGTGGATTGCTTGGCATGTAAACAGCCAATCAATTTGAAACACGCATGGAAGGAGAATTTTGCACTTGTTAGGATTTTGCACGTAAGAAAATGACTGGAAACCTTGTACTTTTTGATTAGCTTTGAGTCATCATAACTGTTTTACTTTTTTACCATTTGTGCATACGAAATTTTCCTATTGCTTTAGTGACCTTAGTAAGGGACTGGATGGATATGGTAAGCATTAAATTACACTCAAGAAAAGAAGCACTCTCCATTTTAATCATAATATAAGACATGTTGCATGTCAATGTGCATGTTGTCCATTATATTTGTTGCTATTTTAACATTTTCATATACTTTAAAGTATATATTGATTATTATCCAACTGTACTTTGTAGAGTACAAAAAGTGCACGATACGAGTACAAATGTCACACGATATTTATTCTCCAGAAATATCCAGGAAATTCGCTTGCACTAAAATAACAATTCGCCTAGTTGGATAATAAATCTCCTATTAGACGTGTTATTGTGTGGTATCGCTGTGTAGTTTTACTCGTTGTTTGTATTTTGACTTGCCCTATGGGCTTGTCAAAATACAGCATAACTCATAAAAAGATTCAATGATACTACACAACTGATCATCGAATGAGATATATCTATTTTAGCATGTACAGAGTAGGGGATACCAATTTTCCTAAGTGAGTTGGGCACACATTTTTATGTGGAGTTGGAGTGCAAGACATTTATAACACTATTATATACAGTAGATTACTATTATGTACTGTAACTTGAAGATGAAAAAGCATCATTGCTTGTCCACTCTTGAGCTTAGTCTAAAATTAAAGGGGAAACTCGATCTTATCCCTTAGTCTGTGATATATGTATCCCTTCTGTTGTAGAATATTTTGGCAGTTCCCAGGGTACACAGTATATCACAATCATGTTCATCGTGTCCATAGGGGGAAATTATAAAAGGAGTTCTTTTTCCAACAAGGCTTAAAGGAGGAGTGGAGGGGAGGGGGGTTTATTAGATCCCTAGTAATTTGGGTATCCCTTCCTAAGTGGAGTATTCCCAGTTTGTATCAAAGGCATTGTATTTATTTCAACAATGTACAGTGGATTACAATCATACTGGTATGGGAGAATGAAAAGGATTATGGTTTGTGTACTCTTACATGTAGCTTAAAATATCCCACATCCCTAGTGTTATAGGTATCCCTTGTCTTAAAGAATATTTAAGCAGTCCTCAATTTGCAGAATGATATAAGCTTATTATGTAATAACTATACAGGGGAAAGGAAATTACTCTTTGCATTCTACAGGGGAATCCTTGTTTACAATATTTGCCTCATTAGCATAAGCAATTCAGTTTCTGATGGAGCTAAAAATAAATCAGTTCTCAATATTGAAAGGTCAAAGTATGATTAACTTGACCAATGAATACGAGCCTGATGCATCGAATACTTTTTGTGCAACATGGGTTTAAAAACTCAAAATTTTATATAGAATGTATGAGCTCATTAGCGCTTTTGCCACCCAGAAATTTTGCAGTTTTTGATGGACTATTTCTCCTTGAATATTACACCCAAAGAGCTAAACATTTCACCATGTACGAAGGTTTTCTAGCTCTTTAGCTGCCTGAAGTCAATTTGTATATAACATGCTTCCTTCTTTACGCAAAGCCGTATGCAAATGAGCAAAAATGTAAACAGTGACGTCAGCATGAATCCGCCTATAGAGGAAAGAATACCCAAATTCCTGGTGATCTAAGTAACCCTTACAGTGTTTACATTACTTACTACCCAATTGACATGGGATGCACTCTATTCAATCAATTATTAAGTGTACAAAGCCACTGTAATTTGGAGAAAAAAGAAAGGAAGATTTGTGTACTCTTAGCCTGACATGTGAGAGGATGCCCACATCCATAATGATATGGTAATCCCCTCTCATGTTCACGGTGGATGACTTCACTATTTCCCTAATCTTGCAATGAACACTTTTATCATTCCTGTTTCTTTGTAATGTGTGTGATGTAACGAAAATAGAAATATCACCTGGCCATCCATGAGTGTAAAATAAAAGAGGGGAGATACTCAAATCCCTAATGATATAAGGATCCCTCAGATATGGCTACTGAGTTCTTAGTATTCCTCAACTTCAATAATTTAAATATCTCCTAGTACATTTTCACTGTTAGTATTTTTCTTTTGCATGCATGTGTTCTTTTAAATACTTTCCTGTATATGTTAACTGGGAGACGATAATTATTGCTCTTTTAATTGGGCCTTGAGGCGGAGGGAAGTGTGTACAACTATTAAACACTGAATTTGTATCACAGGGTAAAGCACGTCTTGATAAGTCTTCTATTTTGTGCGTTCTGGGTTAGGACAAAACTTGCTCTTGTGTCTGTAAACATTACTAAGGTCATTAAATCAATAGGAAAATTCCCCCCCCCTCCTCCCACATACACACACGCACGCACGCACGCACACACACACACATGGTAGACAAGTCAGACGTTATGATGACTCACAGATTCATAGCTAATCGAAAAGTGTTAGGGTTCGGTCATTTTCTTAAACGCGATATTCCACCATGTGGGAAAATCTCCTTCCGTGCGTGTTTCAAATCGATCGGCAGTTTACATGCGAAGCAGTTCACATGAAACTGCTGACTCATCTCTCATTCTAAGATGCTACACGACAAATTAACGCTTCTTCACCAACCACAATCTCAAGTGCGAAAAGTTACTTTGGATGACAACTTTCTGACGTCTACAAGCAGTTATTTTTTTGTCCTCAACAAATAAAGGAGGATGTCATGTTGCTTGCCCCAGTCTGCTGTTTAATTTACTTTTGGGCTCTGGGTATCCCCAGGGAGGATATCCAAACACTAGTGCGTTGGGCACAGGGATTCCCAAAACTCAGGAATACCCAAAACACTATGACAGCGCTATAATATTTTTGCAAGAAATTTTTGAGAAAAATCAAATTGAATTTGATAAGAAAACTCGGGAAAGAGGATAGAAAAAGAGAAAATAGATTGCTCTTGAAATTTAACATTCGAGGGGATTTTACTCTCACTTTAAAAATGAATTGTTCATAAAAATTTTGAAGACAGACGACCATCGCACCCAGGAGCAGTCTAGTTTATCAGAAGTCTCCTTGCTGACACGATATTTACATCCAACCTACTGCTTTTGGTCTGTTTCATCTAAATTCCGTAAACCTCACCTCTGTTAATTTGCTTTAAAACTAGACGAAATCTACAGAAAACTTCAGAGTGAATACCATCTAAGCCTGAACGGGGAAGGAATCTCAACAGCTTAACACGGGCTTGTCTATTCATAAAGGCAGTGCCAGAAAAATTCAGAAATATTTCCATTGTCTTTCACTGTATTCTTGTTACAGTATTTTGTATTTTTATGTTGTCCCAAGCGTCCCACCGATCGCCGATTTGCATCAAAGTGATTTGCTCAAGCCTAATTGATCCATTGTTTAGTTAAGTGAACTACTAATTGTTAAAATGTTCTGTGAAAAGCGGAGAATGAAATGACGCCATTTTATACAAGCTTCTTTGAGAACTTATTAAAATCGAATTAGGAGGGGTATTCGCCAGTTTTCATAACGAGTAGTTTCGACAAGTTGCCCAACTCTTCTGCTTTATAACGTTCTAGAGCACTCCATGGTAGAACCACTTTGCAATAAAACTTACCGCATTCGAATCTGACAAATTCGAAGTCTTAAAGAGGAGGTGGTTATGCTAATGTCCAAGAAGATGGACATTAGGATGTGGTTATGCTAATATCCAAGAAGAATTTTTGTCTCTTCATTGTTTACTGTTAACGACGTGGTTTTCTCCCGTTAAGAACGATAGTGACTGTGATATAAGCGGTATAGGTAGAGCATGTTCCTAACTTACAGTAGCTGAAAATTAGGGGTAAAGTTTCATTCAGCGTCCGCAAAACTTTCTGCATCTACTTAAATTAGTTTTCGCCCACAAGAGAGCTCTGACACTCGTAGGAGGTGTCGAAAGCCTTCTTAAATGAATCTGTTTGCTTACCAGTACCGGGTGTCTGATAGTAAGTGTTACTGTATGTTTGAATTTACAGAGTTACACTGGAAGGAAAATTAGAATTTGCACGTTGTTTCATTTGAGCGTGCAATTTACTTCTTAGGAAGAACTGAGTCAACTGACAGACCCATGATGTGAAATGATGTTTAAGAAAACAGAAATCTAGAAGGTAAAACAGCTCCCTCTTTGAGTGACGATGGACGAGAATGTAGAACTTGAAATATCAGGGCTGCCAAACAATGTGCAAACACACATTCAGCAGATTGTGAGGAAGAATTCGAACCTCTCTAGTCAATATGCTAAAGAGTTAGAAAGAGCTCTGACAAAAGTAGCGGTGCTGCCCTTCGAAGACGAAATACAACGGCGAAATTTCTTTGAAAAGGTACAGAGTTTACAGGGTTACCACATCATTAAAATTTTCAACTTAGGAGTTGCTCCACGTCACAAATCTGCAAAAGAATCTTCAACCCAAATTCTGGAGGATGTGACCAAGATTTTCGACATTTGCATATCTTTTTGCTACACCAGTGATGTGTCGAAGCGAGTCTCTTTTGACCTTTACCTGAGTGCATTGAAATTTTGCTTTCCCCCGCATAATGAGCAAAGCCTACCAATTACAGTTCTTTCCTTGTTACTCGAACTTGTACAAACTTTTCAGCGCAGAAAAACTAAAGCTGAGCTGGAAATACTCCCGAAGAACCGACTTCCTGCTAATACCTGGAATTTCTTTGGAGAAATTCTTGATGTCTTTGAAAAGAGACGACACGATGGCTACCTTTTAGAAATAATTTATCAAACGGCGAGGCTCGCTACTGCGGACGAAAAACTTGCAATAAAACTAGTCGATGATGCGACATTGCAAGGCAAAAAAACACTTTCCTCCCTTTTGTTGGTAAAGTGGATTAATCTCCTAAAATCACCAAGCGTTAGCAATTGTTTTGCGGTTTCTCTGGCAGAAATTGATCCTTCTGGAGAGGAAAGTGAACCATTCTTTTCAGGTGAAATCTGGTTTGGAGGATATGAATTTCCCTACCAATCTACCATTTTGTATTTTTGGAGAGTTTTAGAAGAGATCAATATGAACTGTAGAGACTTAAGAATTCCTAACGACAAGGATAGGATGGAAATATTCTTTAGTCAAATGAGTCACTTTTGTGTCCATCCTGATATTGCTATCTTATCACTCCATTTATTAGTGGCGAAAAGTATTTCCAATGAAGTGTTGAGACAAACTCTTGAAGTGTTCTTCCAGAAACATAGAAAGGAAACTGGCCTCACCGAGAAAGCCTCTGAGCTTAATTTGAAAGTTTTACGAATACGTCCAGATGGTGAACTGCTGAAGGAGATCGTGGAATTCTGGTTAGGTGATTTTTCGAATGATCCAGGTCACGCCGCTAGTCTTGTCTGTTTGTTGGGCCTTTTCGGGGGAGACCCAAATAACGAACGCGAAACAGCCAAGAGGATATTTAATTTCCTGGAACGACTTCCTCGTCCTTTCTTAGTCTTGATACCATTCTGGCATGAGATCTTTTGTTGGCTCATGAAGATATTTCCAGAATCTTTTGACTTGCGCCCTGAAGTGTTGGCGCTGATTCAGAATGCGGCTGTTCTGGCGTCACAGGTACAGGGTCAATTACATTTCGCCAACGCCCAAGTAAGAACTGTCCAATTTTTACGGTGGTTACGCGCACAGGGGTGCACAGAGGAAGCCAAGAGCGAGACGATTTTGCTTCTTACCTCTATTACTCAAAGTGAAACAGTGAACCACAGACGGACGACCACGCGTGATATGGATGTTTTGACATCTCTACATTTTTGTGAAGAATTGTCATTTAGTTCCAAGGAGAACGTTGTTCGTGAACTTGTTTCTCTGGAACCACGTTTAGAGGAAGAGGATCAGGAAGCTTTAAAACTGTCCATAGAAAGTATTTTATCAAGTCCAGATTGCGCAGAGGAAATATTTTGTGAAATTTTTGCCCTTGTTAAGAATTTTGTTGATGGACAAGGGCCGAAGACTACAGCCAAAGTCTTTTTCGAAGCTCTGAGGTGGTTATCGACAGTGCCGATCTCTTATGATAGAAGACTTAAAATGATCAGGAACTTCTGTAACCGTGAATCTGAAATTGGTTTTAAGAACTTCAGGTGTATTTTGTCGGTACTGACACAAGCTGAATTTCTCAGAGAAGGAGATAAGTCCTTTGATCTTCTGGTTCACGTAGTTCTTGAGACTTTTAAAAGTGATTTTGGTTTATGTGAACAGCTGTGTTGTGCTCTAGAGTCTCCTCTTAAGTTCCCCTCATCATTTGTTCTAAAGGTGTGGACTTGTGCTGTCGCTGGATTGATATCCTTAGGACTGTATAAGAAAAACATTGACTCGTTCTGTTGTCTTCCAGTTTTACGAAGTGCACATGGATTTGATTCACCATTCGAAGTTCTTCAACTTTTATTTCTGGCGAGATCAACGGCTCTCACTCTATCAAGACGCAACTTAGAAGCTAACTTACGTAGCGGCCCGGAAACCTCTTCACAATCCTTTTCCATTGGAGGTAACAACCACCTAAGGAACTTTGTACACGCTTGTCAAATAATCCTTGTTATGGACACTTTTTCAACTACGCAAAAAATGCTTCTGGTCGTGAAAGTGCGCAATGTCATACTTTGTGAGCCTCAGATCTCCACTGCGTTGACACATGCCTTGATGCGTCTAATCCCGTACGTTTCTAGCAAGGACAAGATCCATGCGAAGTTTGACCGCATCATTGCCATATTAAGTAATCCTAAATTGCTAAATGAGCTCTCAAGAATTCCAAAAGCTGTTAATACTAATGATATTGTCCGAGTGGTGGCCAGATACATGTTCAACGTGTCATCTGAAGTTAAATCAGTGGAGGTTCTCCTGTTCATTGCTTCCTTACAAGACAAGGATGAAAAGTTACTCACACAGTTGTTATCTTTTGTTGAGATGGCCATTAAGATATCCTCGTCAATGGAGGATGCTCTAGAAGTTTTGAAAGAGTTAGTGTATTTGCTTCGTCAAGTTGAGACAGAAATGATTCCTTTTATGTTAATAAACTTCGCGTCTTTCATCGGAAACCCGGTCGACAAACAGGAGAGAGACAAATTTCTCTTAGAACTTTCCATGTGGTGGGAAAGTTCTCCCAGCCACGTAGTGCTTTCGGTTTTGGAAGTTCCGCGACTTCTATGGAAAGTATACAGTACTATCAGCAATCCAGCGAAGAGAGGTGAGCTGATCGGTCGTGCACAAGAAATTATCTGTAGGAATGAAACATCGTGGCACGAATGGATGGCTAATGAAAACTACGGTCAGTTTCTAGTACGGCTATCTGAACAGATCGCTTGCTGTGAGCTGGAGTGGCTCGTTTTCCATTCCCCGCTCTCAAATGAGGATGCTGCTCTTGCGTTCGATCTTAGCCGTCTTTTCTTTCGAACACCAGGCTATCGTCTGAGATCTTCATCTTTCTTTGATGTAACGATTAAAGATGGGGGTTTTAAGTTTTGTAGGGATGAAAGAGCGCCCGAAGTACTTAACGGACGAACTTGCGCAACACCCTTGGTCGAAGAGGAATCAATGTTATCGGACACAAAGCAACAAGGGGCAGTTCTTATACCCGTTTTAATGGCCCAGAAAGTGATTCTTTGTTTGACTCGACTACTCGGGCCACTGGAAAACCTCGCTGAAAATGCCCTCTCTGTTTGGAAACTTGTCTGTAAAGCACAACAAGAGGCTAGATTTGTTGATCAGTGTGGCTGCGACTTTTTATTCGATGATTACCTAGATATTTTCGAGTCAATTCTTGAAGAAGCATCCTCTAAAGAAATTGTTTTCCTCTGGGCAAGCCAAAATCCACACCATGCTGTTCAGTGGTCAGTCGTTGTTTTCAGTGCACGCAGATGGCAAAGAAAAGAGATAAAAGATACTGACAATGATGCTGTTTTAAATTTTCAAACTCTTGTCAGTACAACATTGCGTAAAATACGGCCACCTCGCTTGCCATGCTTCAGAAATTGTGAATCAGACCTGAAGCACTTGAGTATCTTTCTTGAGCGCCGATTGCCGATTGAAGTGACGAAAGGAGTTCTCGAACTCTATCAGGTGGATACACAAGCAGGGGTCATTATCGGAGAAATTGTCTCTTCGTGGTCCTCTATTGAGCAGTCACTGACACTTTTGGAGAAAGTTCGATCTGACTATCGAGCAAATGATATGATACCCACCACAGGAACTAACTTTGTCTTGCAGCTTCTGAAATCATTTACTCGCCATGGTATGCTAAACACGTGTCAAGATTTTCTATCCATGTATGAGCACCTAAAAGACATACGTGACTCAGAGGATCCATATGGTCTCAAAAGGTTGCCCACATGGATAAAGGCAATGATGGAGGCAGGAGACTACACAACAAGGTCAATCGACTCCTGGTGTGTAGCCTTCCTGAACACTCCGTTGGTCGATCTTAAGTCGCGGGACATTGATGCCATTGTCAGTCTAGATTTCGACGCTCTGCAACTTGTCGCATCTGTGTCAGAAACAATCAAAAGAGTCATCTTTCCTGAAGATGGATTTCAAGTCACGGAAGGAGAAGGGATCAAGTCAAGTTCGATCAGGGAACGCATTCAGCTAGCCAAGGTAATTGGGGATTTTATCGAAATTGTGAGGCTTCTGAAACCCAGCGAAAATCCCAAAGCAACAAATGTCACAGACATCGTTGTCGGTGCCTGCAATGAGCTTTGTGCAACCTTTGAGGGGAAAAGTGGGAGGAAGAAAAGTGAGCTCTGCAAAATTCGTGGCCAGGCGCTGAAGGCTATTTTCACAGAAGTATTCCTCAGTGAAAAAGAGAGTAAAGATTTCCTTTTGACAAACCAAGAAGATCAGAAAGAAAACCCGACACCGTCTGTATTGAGAAACAAAGAACATCTTGACCCAGTGCTGGAGCCTTTGCTACGGCGTTGGCTTTTAGGGATTGTCGGTCAAAGACCATCCCTAGCCTCTATCACTCTGGAAATTCTTCAGCTACTTCCTCCCAACGTTGGCCTTGCTCATTGTCCAAATTTTCAAGCTGGCATTCAAGCTCGCATTTTATCATTTGAAAGAAATCAATCGCTCATGGCCCAACTTCAAGCAGTGGGATACAACGGGAGAGAGCAAGACAATCCCGATCTATGGTCCTCACCCAATATTAAGCTCTCCGGCTTCCTCAGTAATCGCGAATCATCGAGTCGCAGAACCTATCGCAAGAAATTGACAGAGGTCCTACGATTTCATTGGTATGGCTGGACGGACCTGCTTTCCATGTTCAAGGTTGAATCTGTTGAAGTTGGTGGGGTTGAGGTTCGCAGAGAAGATCTTTTTGGATCTCAGGCATCCCTAGAAGAGATGGAGGACCAGGTAGCTGCCGTAAAGGAACGGGCCAGGAAACTTAGCTGTGCACCCGTTAATCCAGAGTTCAAAAGTTCACCAGAAGGAATTGACAGATGGATCAACGACTTGTTACGCAGAGAACAGCAATATCGCAGAACGATAGCAAAGCAGTACGATCCCCTTAGCGTGAGTAAACCGTACCCGATAAGTAGTAATATACGTATGATGCACGATCCTCGCAGTAGATAGCGCTATTTTAAGCAATAGCGAAAATCAGACTTGAAAAAAATCAGGCCTGTACGGGATTCGAACCACTGACCTTTGCGATACTAGTGCAGCGCTCTACCAATTGAGCTAACAAGCCAACTGGGAGCATGCCGTTAAGTTGATTCGTAATAAACCCTTGAAAGTGATCAATCAGATACAATGAAATATATGAAGTTCATATATTTTGAACTGCGGTATTAGATACGTATGATGCACGATCCTCGCAGTAGATAGCGCTATTTTAAGCAATAGCGAAAATCAGACCTGAAAAAAATCAGGCCTGTACGGGATTCGAACCACTGACCTCTGCGATACTAGTGCAGCGCTCTACCAATTGAGCTAACAAGCCAACTGGGAGCAGGCCGTTAAGTTGATTCGTAATAAACCCGTGANTCACGGGTTTATTACGAATCAACTTAACGGCCTGCTCCCAGTTGGCTTGTTAGCTCAATTGGTAGAGCGCTGCACTAGTATCGCAGAGGTCAGTGGTTCGAATCCCGTACAGGCCTGATTTTTTTCAGGTCTGATTTTCGCTATTGCTTAAATAGCGCTATCTACTGCGAGGATCGTGCATCATACGTATCTAATACCGCAGTTCAAAATATATGAACTTCATATATTTCATTGTATCTGATTTATCACTTTCACGGGTTTATTACGAATCAACTTAACGGCCTGCTCCCAGTTGGCTTGTTAGCTCAATTGGTAGAGCGCTGCACTAGTATCGCAAAGGTCAGTGGTTCGAATCCCGTACAGGCCTGATTTTTTTCAAGTCTGATTTTCGCTATTGCTTAAAATAGCGCTATCTACTGCGAGGATCGTGCATCATACGTATCTAATACCGCAGTTCAAAATATATGAACTTCATATATTCATTGTATCTCAAGTAGTAATATATTAGTAATTTAAAAAAAATGGATTTTCGGCTGAAACCTGTTTATATCTTAAGCCTGGTTCACATATGATCGCAGACGATCGGAGGCGATCGCACTCGATCGCCAGCGATCGTCTGCGATCATATGTGAACCAGCTCTGCGATCGTGTGCGATCGCAGGAATAGAACCATGCTCTATCCTTGCGATCAGTTGCGATCGAGTGCGATCATATGTGAACAAATTTCTGCGATCATGCGATCGGAATGTCTCATAATGCTATGTTTTCCCAGCGTGAGACACTGCAAGCGGCATGATACCATGACAACCAGTTGTTTATCAACTTTTACACGGGCGAGTGTTTCGACAAGATGGAAGGTGAAATTGACACGAACAGTTTATGGAAGAAATTAGAAAATACGATTGTTTGTTCAGTCGCTTTCAGCCGCTTTCCGCACCAAGAAGCGACGTTTCTTCTTTAATCTAGCACCGATTTTCCGTTGAAGTTAAGACAACAGAAGCAAAAAGTTAGCACCTATTAAAAGTTCAGCGTCTTCTGCGTCCATGTTGGTTGAGTGGAGATACATTGTATTGTCGCTGAATGGTAAATCGTGGACTCGGTTGGCACACATCTCTGCGATCGGCTGCGATCATATGTGAACATACGATTCGCGATCTTCGGTTGACTAGTTTCAGCGATCGTGCGATCGCCTGCGATCGTCTGCAATTATATGTGAAACAGGCTTTAACCCGTCATCTCAATATCAAGAATGAAATTTAAAACCGAATTTAAAGGTTATTGACGTACACAGTAGCCTGTTGGTAAACAAAATGATAGCTTCACCACGCGAAAAATTCTTAAGAAAAAGCCCTAACTGAGTACTCGAAAATTAAGCTTTTCTGATGATATTATCCCAACTAACTTGATCTCTTTTCATCATTCTTTCCAGATTCCTGATTACCGTCAAGAAATGAAGGAATTTGCAGCAGTTTGGGAAAACCGGTTTCTTGAGCAGGTGAATCAATGTTCGGAGAGAATTCCAGGCAAGTTAAAATTTGTAGACGTCCTTAGAAAAATTAGACGTAATTCGCAGACGAATGCAAAGTGGATACTATCTATCATTTGCATGTTCACGACATAAGTGTTGGAACACACTCCCGAACTCTTTCAGAAATCCTGATTAGAGGCAAGAATCGTGCAAATCGATCTTTCTAAGTATCTTTTGTATGATACTCAGTAATATTAAACTCTCTTGTAGGAATTTTTAATATTGATTATTGATTAATATTTTGTTTTAGTCTCTTCTCGAAGAAATTTGCTCTGTAAGGCTACTCTCATTTCGATAAGAAAAAACTTATGTAGAACATGTCTGTTGAAAGACTGGCAGATGGATAAATAGATTAGATAGATAGATAGATAGAGAGATAGATAGATAGATAGATAGATAGATAGATAGATAGATAGATAGATAGATAGACAAATAGAAAGATCTCACCTGAACTGATTGTAAAGCGCGACTGATTATCTAGATAGTAGTTTGCGCTATATAAATGTTAAATTGTTGTTGTTGTAGATAGATAGATAGATAGACAGACAGACAGACAGACAGACAGGTACATACGTACATACATGCATACATATATACATAGATACAAACATACATACATGCATATATACATACATACAAACATACATAACCTCTGCCTCAAAGAAAAATTCCTAATCATCTGCCGGCCCGAACTATCAACACTAAACAAACGTAATGAACTCGTGTCTTCATGCCGCCACAGAAGCAAAGCCCTCCTACGCAACAACTAAACTGTCAATTTCGCGCTGCATAAATTAGACTAGTTAGATCATGCAAATTATATTGTATATAAGCAATGGTAAAGTTTATTCTCATTAAATCCCCTGATGAGTGGGCGACCACGAAACAGGCTTGTAGGGATGAACTTGTAGTTTACTTGTCTTTTTCCTCCCACAATATATACTTCGCTCTACTTCTATGTATTGAGCACTGTTCTACGAAAATCAAGTCACACTTTATATATATATATATATATGTATGAATGAAAAAAACAATTGCACTCCACTAATCTTTAATTGTTACAACCAGTAGCAATTGCTTTCAATTGATTCATTTTGTAAGCAGGTGGACCATCCAGGTCATTAATCTTCTCTTTTGGTGCAAAAGCACCACATACAAAAAATTTTTGAACAAGCTGCATTCAGCCTATAAACAAGGGCCAAGAACTTCCAGTCAGAACAGCAATACCTGCACATGAAGAAAATGTATCTATTTTTAGTAGAAGTCTAGTTATTATTACATACTAATGCAAGTACTGCAATCTGATTGGCTGAGCTATTGCACACGTATATTTAACCATTATTTACTAAAGTGAAGGTGAATAATGGTGGTGATTTACCAAAAGGAGGAAATTCATTGTTACGGCAAGCACACTCAGCCTCGTCAATTACAACAAAAGGGATTGGATTTTGCTAGGAATAGTTGTATAGCTACCCACCATTCAACATCGAAGTGTTCTCCATCAATCTCTAAACCCTCTGATTTTACTGTCTCAATTTCTTTGAACGTCT